TAGTTCGTGTTGTGTGTGGATGTTATTTCCCATTTCTCTCTCCCAGCTTGAACCTTGGGGTAGGTCTTATTAGCAACAGGTGAATCCTATTTTAGTCTGCTTTTAGATTTACCTGTCATAGGTGCAGAGTCGCCACTGGTTAGTCCAAAAATCTGATCAGAAACCCAAGATGCGGTAACGATAGAAGAAAGCATGGGTTTTAACCCGGAAAGCAATGGGTGTTACGTTAGTTACAGCTACTACCAATATGAATTATGATCAGAAAAGTTCAACCTAACTTAAAGGAGCTAAATCTGTATTCTTTGGCCCCGAGAAATGAACACAATGGGTCGCAACGATAATAATCTATTATGAATGTCTATAAACTGATTTACATTCAGTCGTTTCTGTTTTTAGTTTAATTTGTAATCAGTTATGCTCGGCGAAATATGTCCAAATTGAATGGCAGTCTGGTTATTCCAGTATACACTGATAGTATGTGTGATATGTTTAGTCTCCTGGGGGGGTTGGATGGCTGAATGGTTAGCACGTGCGCGCTGTACCATAAAGTCTGTCATTGAGTCAACTGGCGTGGTTTCGAATCCCCGGTTGTACGTGGCAAGGAGTAGGGTCGCCTGTCCAACCTCGTGGGTTTTTCTCCGGGTCCTCCGGTTTCCTCCCACTGCTAAAGACCCCTACGCGCAAGCGAATTATTGAAATAAAATTAAAACCATATGTTAGTCCTGAAATGACCTAGTTTGTGTCGAGTGGACGTTAAACCCCATTTCTCTCTCTCTCTCTCTCTTTAGTCTCCTGTTTGTGGACATGAAACTTCATTTTCTCGCACATTTAGCTCCCTTTTCCTTAATTAAAATGTGTTCTTTTGAAATGGATGTCATAAGAAACAACCTGATTGAGAATATTTGTTTTGCAGGTGCATTTTTGAAATTAACCCAGATAACGCACAGAAATCATGAAAAAGAGGAAGACTCGAGTGTGCCAAAAAGTATATAACTAATCACTAAACTGTCAAACTTTAAATGGATGAAGTACAGTTACAACAATAGCAACAATATACCGGTACTGTGAGAAGGTATACGACGGTATAGATGCCACATTTTGGTTCAAGGTGCTTTAAATTCTGGGCCACGGTTTGGTTAACATGGTACAGATATTTTAACTGTCCATTTTCATCCGATGCAGAATACTCCCCTGTAGTTCATGTGACAAGAAGGAGAAAAGATGGCTTTCGGCAATGAAACATGTGTCCCGCTGAAAGTACATTCCCCTCCGGCGAACCACAAATCACGGATATAGGAACATTTTGAATCAAAAACGTCAGATGGAAAAGCAGTGGCTAGGGAGCTGGAAACACGTCCAAGAAGAAATACTGTGATATGTATCGTTGCAACCTATGATGCAATAATGTTCATGCATGCAAATTTTAGGGATAGGCCTATTGAGTTTATGGTTAGTTTTTATACACCAGCACATAGTGTGTATAAAATAGGTGATAAGGGACCGAGCCACAACCCTTTTATGAGTGATACTTTGTAAATGAGACTTTAAACGCACTGCAAGAAATCTTTTTAATGAATCTTCTTAATTAAACTTGATCTTCTTATTGTACTTTTGATAAGATGTCCGTTTACTTTAATGGAAAAATCTTTTGGTCATTTAATTTGTCCATCAACAATTTGGTACATTTGTAAAATTATCCTCAGTTCATTTTGTCTCTAAATATGCGGCCGTGTTGCATAAACATTAAAATTGTGTAACTCTCATCTACACATTTCATTTTGGGACTGGTTCATTAACTTTGTCAGTAGTCGAGTTCCATCTAAATTTTTATCTATGAGACTGAATCAATTTATGCCATTCTCACTAAGGAATGTACATGCTTAGGCAGAGTTATTGTGCAAAATTTAATAATATACATTTTCAAACAGAGATTAAGCTAATCATTGAAACAAGCTGTACATTTAAGGTGGAATAATAGGAATTCTGCATTGATGCTGTTCTTGTTTTAAAGTCATGATACTTTTGGGGTTCAATAATTGTTAGATTTTAAATTGTTCATTTAAACATTTAGAATGCAAATTCATTAATTCCAAAAATTTGAATGATTTCATTATTTCATTAGATCATGTTTTACTGTTATAATTTACTTTCATGTTGTTGATGTTTTAAATAATAGATTTGAGGTAAATATTACAACACCTTGGTTAAGATTTTAGAAAAAGATTTGAGGATTATTCTATTGTAACACACTGATTATATATTTGTAGAATAGATTCAGAATGTTGTTGTTCTACTATAAAAAAAAATTCATTTGAATATTATAATGTAAATGTTACATGTACAAGAATTTGAATGGATAATTTCATTATTGTTAAATTTATATTTTGTTGCTACCCATTATTTGATACATCCATGGAAATTTTCACATACATTTTTTAATTGCTGGGAATTTTTGTTTGCTTGTCTTGTGAGAACTTAATAAATATTTTGGAGAGTTATTTCCCTTGTTAATAGGGCAACAAATTCTCTTTTTTTTTTAAAGTCGTCACTATTCCCTGTACAAATGTTCATTATTATTAATGAAGAATTATGAAAGGAGCTTTGTTTTTGTTGAAATATACCACCAAACTGCTTGACAGCCAAAGAATATGTTAGATCTCTAAACATTCTCCATATTGTAATATCAAATCTGCTCTTGATCCAATGTGTTAAAAATATGAATTTGTGGTTGACAGGTTTTTTTTTAAGGCAGTTGTTAGCTTTACTTACTGACAGTAATCTCCAATTTCCAGTATTTTCAGGTATTTTATTATATCTTAAACTATCATGTAAAAGCATTTTTGAGGAATTAATTGTATCTTATATTGTTTTGAATAATTAAATTCTGTTTTAAATCTTAAGTAAATGTCTTTTTGATGCTTATCATACCATAAGTTTTTTACAGCTGTAAAACATTTTCCGTAAAATTTACGAACAAATGGCTGGCAGCTAGGTTGCCAATCTTTGGACGTAATTTTTACGACATGTTCGTAAAAATATATTTACGGTGTGTCGTAATTTTTACGTACATTGGTTGGCAACCTAGCTGCCAGCCATTTGTCCGTAAATTTTACGGAAAAAGTTTTACAGTGTGTAAGCCGGCTAACGGAGGGAAATTTAACCACACTCTTTCTTATATACAAAGTATAGATACGTCAGCTATTAGGACGATACAATTACTATTTTGGGGTAAGTGTTTCGTATGGGCACCGTTTTACTATGTAATTGGACTAATCTGTGCACGAGATGACTGGACGATAGTACCCTACTTTTAGCGATTGGTGGTGGCAGGAACTGTCTGTGAGTTGAAAGTTGAATCTTGCAAAATACCTACTTGGCCCATTTCTCTTTGTCACTCATTTGTTTATGCACTTCAATATATTAAACAGAGCAACTTTCATAGAACTAAAATAACCCCTATAACATTACAGGCACGCCAGGTGAGTGTTTCATTAAATGCTGTAGCTTTCTTGAACCAATCATCACTTTTTGGCTTTGTACGTACTACATTGCTCAGTCTTGCGTAGACTATTAAACCGTCCATAGCCGTTTTGCTCTTTAGTACCGACCGCTTTTTCATTCAGCGGTTAGACATGTTTGTCTATCCAATCGTGTCTGAGTTCATTAGCTACAGTCTTACTGGCTTTATCCCTGCTTACAGACTGTTTTCCCTTCTGCCGTTTACACAGATACAACATTCGACCTATCACCACTGCCTCAGGAGGTAACTTAGAACTAGGTTTGAATTCCTGTAATTACGTGTACGTAGCTCTAAAAAGTTCCTTCCTGCTCCTAGACTGTTGTTCAGTTATGGCCATAATCAAACTGCAAATACTACTTCCTCTCGATCATCTGAATTAAAGCAAACAATATTCACGAATATGTTAGTAACCGCAACTTCCACAACAGATAGAAAGTGTTAACAACCAATACTTACATCATAGATCTGGCCGTGGAAAGGGTATCTGAAATGAAATGAAATGGGGTTTAACGTCCGAAAAGGTATCTGAAGTAGAATAACCCGACATCACAGATTTGAACAAATTATGGACAATTATCTAAGAAAAACTGGAGAAAAGCACCATTGTGGTATAACTATCATTCCTCTGTATCTAAGTTTGTATTATTCGGTATTCCCGACCTATAAAAACATTCATTAGAACATAGTAGACGACTAGTTTCAATATTTCCTTACTTGTAAGGAAATGGCCGCAGAACCAATCTAAACTGATGTCACATACCAAACATTTCATCGGATTCGGATTCAGCAGCCTTAGAAAACACTCGTCACCTAAATTTAGCTGAATCCGATGAGATTTTTGGTGCACGCCAATGTGTACAAGGGACCTCGGTTCTTCGTCGAATCCGAACTGACAAGGGGGAGCCACATCGGAAAATCTGGATGAACTTTCTCGGCCAATGCGGGGATCGAACACCGGACCTCCAGTCTAGCGAGCCAGTGTCTTATCCACATATTCATGTATATGTGTTCTTGTTTTATATGTGTTCTGTATGTACATATATTTATTTTTTTAAATTCTGGAGAGGAGCCAATATAGGTTTAGGTTGTTCCCCAATCCATTTTTAAAGGAAATAAAGTATAAAAATAACTGATTTGTCAATATAAAATGTTATAAAATCTCACAAAGCACAATCAATGTCCTTTATTATATAAAAACGTAATATATCCGTATGTATCAAGATTCAAAGAGCTAGAAAAACATTTATTTGGCTGGATCCGCTCGAGTTGTTTTCTTTTTTATGTATATAACTTCGCCAGGGATTATAATTATGTTGTTTTTACATATCGGTAATAAATCAAAACTGCGCTACGGACAATACACATTTAATTGTAAAGTTTCGAAACTGAAACTGAATTAATGAAGTGTAACTGTTATAGTAATACTTTAGTAATACTAGTCAGTGTTAAAAGCTGGTGACATACATTCGCCTATAACACATCTTTGAATGCTGTTTTTTCTACGCCTCGTCAATAGATCAGTTTCGGATGGGACTTCCTGTCGGTTTACTTCTTGATCCATCCGCCCCAAAATCGGGAATATTCTTCATTCTTCAACACTAGGCAGAATTAGTAAATTCAAACACTATTCTTCACACCTGGGCATAAGACTCAACAGAAATAGTCACACAGCGGAAGGTGGGAGAGTTGCTAGAAGTAGGCGAACTACATTCTAAGAGGTGAGTGTGAGATTTCAGTTGGGCTTTGCGTGTTAAATCAAGTCCCTCTGGGTTGATATTACAGCTCGCTGTTTGGTCGTTTTTTTTAGGACTAGCGGAAACTAGGAAATACAGTAAGTTCTTATGATCTTTAATATTCAATGATTTGTAGTTTCAAGCATTGTACACGAATATAGATTATACGAATCTGAATTCTCACAAAACGTCTGCTGAAATCCTACACTGTTCAGGAGCGTGATGGCGGGTAGGCAGGTATGCAACCACCTTCAAAACAAGCGAAACCTAACCCCCAAATACTCAAGGTAATGTCCGTGTCAATGTCAACAAATTCCCATTACCTTAATAGCAATACTGTGTCCTTGTGTCCTGCTGCCTTTTATTTCAACACAACGCATGGGGATAATTGTTGAAAATTATTTGTTTGGGGCTATATTACTTGCACAAAGCATTAACGAATGTACCAATTGCACTCGATACCAATCGACAGGCGGTTAACAAGGGCATTTTCTTGATTTTCGACTTTGTACGGTTATAAAAAAAGTGAATGACGGATCAGATTCAATCTATGCTCCCAGAGATATATACAACGGTAAGCTTCTCTGCACCTCATCTGGGAATTATGACGGCATACCTATCTAACTATTGATCCCTGTCGTGTGTATCGCTCAGATTTGAGGTTTTTTTTACATCGGTTAGGGTCACTAAAGAGAATCAAATGAAATTTGAGTCATATTCTAGTCATCAAGGCAAAGTGTGTTTTTATTAATCAATTGCGGTTTTAAATATAATATCAGCATTCGATTTCAACAGTCGACAATTTAAGAACCGGCAAATGAAAATAAACATCTCAGCCTCGCACCACCTGGATCTTGTCAATGCAAGATACGTCCGCATTTTGCAAGAGATGGACAGAGAACAAGCTAAGAAAACGATTTGTCGTTCCATCAGACGGGCCAATATTGAAATGACCCAAGATGTTTGTGACATAAACAAATATGTTAAATTTCATGAAAATCAGATAACAATTGTGACATCTGTCCAGCCCCGTGAATTATCCCACTGATACAGACCCCGAGACGCAAGAGAATTGTAATAAAATGTTATTAACCCTTCACTGTCTCCTTTCTTAAGCTGGTCGAAGAGATGGCTCGTTATTGTTTGCTTGAAAACATGATTCATTGGTCTGCTTGAGGGAACGTCTACTATTTATGTGGTCAGTTGTAGAGTCAAAACGCCTGTACAAGGACACTATATTACATACTTTTCATCGATAATGTTAAAAATGAATAACAAAAGCACAAAAAGCATCCTTTTTTTTCTAATAAAAGTTATCTTACTCATTCTCACCATAAACGGGATAACTTTAGTCAAAGATATGTAAACCCATCACACGCGCAGTGATGAGATGGTCTAGAAAGAGTACGTTGATTTTAAAGGAGCTAAATCGCTAACATTTGGGACCTAGAAATTGACAAAAATGGGTCGCAACGCATATAATACTGTAATATGAATGTATATAAACTGATTTACATTCAATGGTTTCCGTTTTTACTCCAATTTCAAAATCAGTTATGTTCGGCGAAATAAGCCAGCAGTCTCAAGCGAGTGCAAATTTCTAGCGTCTGGGTATTCCAGTCTACATACGTCGTTTGATTTGGTGCAATGTGTCTAGCCTCGTCCCTCGAGTCTCTTGATACAACTGGGGCTGAAGCGCATTATGGTACACGATTCGTGTACCAATGGTAAAATGTTTATTTTATCTTAAATATTGGATATCAAAAGCCCATCTTTCTCCGGTAAGATCACAACAAGAATGTTGATTTAATTTGACAAATAAATCGTGTTTTCAATGTTAAAGATTTTGGACGATATTGAGTTAGAGACTTAGCTACTTTAAATAAAAAAAGGAAAATTTAATCTTGTAAAATGATTACAAATTATATACAATTCCTTTTAATGGCCAAATATGTTATAAGCTGCAAGGTTTGTGCATAGCGATATTGTTTCCTAAAATGTCAACTTTGTGCATGATAGTTTCGGCAGACCCTATGTTCAAACACGTTATTTACGGAGAAATATGGTTTACAAAACAGGTATGATAACGTTGACTTCTCCATTTGCTATTTTTCATAATAGCTGTAGGATTAAGAAATTGACATTTCAATGACGATATTATTTCCTGAAATGACACCATATGCATTTTAGTTTCGACAAAAGAAAACTTTATTTACGGAGAACTCTGGTTTACAAAACAGCTATTTTTATATAATAACATGCTTTTCTTTCATCATATAAGCTGTGCGATAAAAGGTATTTACATTTCAATAGAGTGAGCTCTATAAATAATTTTTCTCGCCTTTCAATATCAACATTTTAATATAATATGTCATTCAGAAGGTCATTTGGGAATGTGTTTTAATTGACAAGCCACACAGTTCGACAGGCACCCCTGATTCATGTCACATGCATAGGCGTATGAGCCGGGGGGTGGGAATCTGACTTTTCGGGCAGACGGGTAAAGTGAAAACAAAAATTATTATTTCATTTAGTTAGCAAAATAAAGTGCCCGAAGTTTAATAAAACACTAATTTTACTTTTCTTTTAATTAAATTAACTATGGATTAAAACATTTTGTCTGGAGTCACTCTACTTTGTGCGATATTTTTCGGGCATCGATTATTATTTGTGAATACACCTGCAACAGCTTAATTCACGGGCTGGAATAGCAGAAACACCTCGCGACGATTGATAGCTTGTTTGGGATTTGGGATTCCGGCATGTCACTTAAGGTAAGCTATATTGGGCCATTTTGAAGCTGCTGTATTCACGGGATGGAATAGTATGAAATGAAAACACATATGCGGCCATCAAATTTTCCAAATTATACTGGGGCAGAGGGAGTGTGTACTACACGGTAAGCTCTGCTCCTTCGCTTCTCGCACACCCGTCTGTAACCCGAAAGTTTTTCGGGCATTTCAGGTTCTGCCCCACCCCAATATTAATCGAGTCCATACGGATATGCATCACGGGACCATTTTATGTATAAATTGATCTGATATTTTTAGATTTATCTTGGTTAGAGAACACCGGTGAAACACCCTTGATAAAAGGCTTCTGGTTATTAAAAAAAATTAAAAGCCACGTCATCATCCAAATGTATAAATAATGAACAACAGCAATCACATGTTATACTTATACAATTTCATATACCGTCTTCTTTATATTATTGTTGGTATACTTATTCAACAAGGAAGTTACTCAAATATCTATTTTATTTTTACACACGTGACGGCGTTAATGGGTCAATCTCGATTATATTTTGGAGAATTTGGAGAATAAAACTGCATAACTTTGTTTTAAAAGCCCTTAGAATCCTTTACCTTAGGGTCGAGCAACTAACTCAATATACGTGATACGTTTTCAAGCAACTTAAACCGTCAGTCTTCATCTGGAAATATAGACGGGTGTCCCAAGCTGCATTATTTTAATCTTATTAAAATAAGGTGTAGGTGATATTTACCTTTCATTATCAAGTACAGCACTGTATAACACTCTAAAGGAACGGTAATAGATTATCAGGCCACTCACCGGAATAATTGACTCGAATTCGTAAAAGGGTTATATGCCGGATAAGAGGTTTTGACGTCAACATCCAAACGACTCAATATTTTGAGCTGAAATTTGAGACAAGGTAAATATGCCATTCCTCTATATTTTGGCGCTTAAATTTCATGCGTACACGGACTTTTATTTCCGAGACTCAAATCGGGATGGTCCATTTAAAGGACAATATTGGTGTCAGCCATTATCACATAGAACAGGTTAAACATTGCTACGATAGATGCGTAACGAAGATTTCAAGAAACGAAAGTGACGAAAACAAAAGGAAAACATGAGTTATCCTTCTATATAACTGACTGAAATAACGGGCCGGCGATATCAGATACACAGGTGATTTTCTGCACTGATAATTCCGTTGATGAGTAAACGTTGTTGTATGAGGTGTAACGATAGAAATAGACGATGTTAATACAACCGTCTTAATGCTAGGTTCCCACCATCTCGATTCGCGCGTTGGAGCTTAGCGGTATGGGGGAAACCGGGGGACCCGGAGAAAACCCCCGAGATTGGACAGGCGAACCTACTCCTTGCCATTTACACGTATAAGCGGGGATTCGAAACCAGGCTGCTTGATTCAATGAGACCTTGTTATTCAACACACACGCGTTAACTATTCATCCAATCCCACCCCTCTCCACCAGCCAAATGCCCGAAGTAGACCATAGGATTTAATTACTCTTTAGATCACTCTAACATTAATACAACAGAGAGAAACACGAATTTATAATCCGTGACGATATACTCAGGTGACAATTTTCATTGACATAATATAATGAAAACTCTATATTGTATTGCGTTCACAAGTTATTTTAGCTTCAATGGTAATAATTCCGGCAACATCTATAAAAAGTGATATTATGCTAATAGGTCAACTCCTAATACCTCAATCTGTTTTGCGATATAATTTCCAGTCTATTTCAACTAAAGTTGAAAAGGGTTTAATACGGAAATATTTGGGTTTATACCACTCGGTACGTCCCATTTTGCCTACGCACAACAACAAATTATATGGCCTGGAGATTGTATTATCCCAACTTGTATACCCTCTCTATAGATTCTTCCACAAAACATCCCATTTAGGCCACAGCGTATAACATTATATCAAAACAAACAGAAAAAAAGAATGAAAAAATAATTTAAATAGAAATTGTATGAAATATGTAACAAAACAAGATAGGAAATATGTAGATATAAACACCGAAACAGTTCATTGCTGATTAGATGTGGGTCAGGATTTTGAGAGTAATGAAAACAAATTTTTGTGAACAATATTTATTCAGAAACTGAGGGGATTGGGGAACAGGCAAGGCCTATATAAACCCCTCTCCCGGTTACAAATAAATTACATAATATAAATATATTGAAAAAACAAAGAAGAA